CACTCATAAAATAGCTCCTTTGTGCTGCTACAGGCCATAACTTGATTAACCTTCAATATCCTTTTTTTCACTTTAGTTCTGTTATTACTTAAAGCTTTTCTTGTGAATTAAGGATGAAAAACAACATTAGAACCCTAAACAGAAAGTAGATTACAATTTATATTCGTAAACCGGTTGCAATCCAGTGCATTGGATGTGTTTTCTTACATTTTTTTAATTTTCTGTTGAATTGTATTTAATTATTTTTAGTATTTTTCATTTTTTATGTTCTTGCTGATGTTTATGTTCTTCTGTGTTTGGTTTAGTTTGCTTTGTTCTTGCTGTTTGTCGAAGCAATTTGTAAACCTGTGTTTTTAAAGGCGCTATATAAATAAAGTTATTATTATTATTATTATTATTATTTATTAGGGCTGTGTTTAATCTTAACATACATACAAGTTCCCAGTTATAACATTGATGCATATCTGTCTTATATTGCCATCAGCAGAGAGTAATATCCTTTGCTGTACTACAACGTGGACACAACTTCTTACTTATTGGCCTGTCAGGATAAACTGCAAATAGCAGTGGGTTTGTGTTCATCAAAGTATACTACCCAGAAAAGAGGGCTAAAGCCTCTATGGGACACAACCTAACCGCAAGGCCATAGGCCCCCAAAAACTACATTGGGGTACCCAAACATTGGTGAGTCCTCATTTCGAGACAAAATGATGTAAATAATGATGTACAGTAGATAGTCCCCAGAATAAAAAATGAATAGTATCAACAATGGTCAAACAACAGCTTTTGTTATCCTCAGGTACTTTTGGGGTAGCTTATCATCACTGTGAAAAACAATACCCATAATTACTGTTGGGTTTAAAAGAATATTACTGTTGTTCCATTAGTCAGACCATTTACCTCAAACCTCTGTTTTGTTTCCCAGAGCCGTAGAGTTTTGAATTTGGAGGTTATGTAATCATCTGGCAAATCATATTAAATCACCTCTCAAACATTAGCAGAACAACTTAATGACAGTTAAAACTGCACTGAGTGCTCACGAATATCGTATTTCCCCTCTGGATTTTTTGGCTAATCCACCACGAGAGCAAACTGAGGGTAAAGCAGCAGAAACTGATTAGACTATTGTCCTTTTAACAATACAAGCAAGATTTATGGTCTTACAAAGCAACCGTTAACTTCCTGTTACCTACTTGTAATCATACCTTTAATTGTATTCATTGAGATTTTTAAGGGCGCACTGTAGGCCTACATCATGTTTCCATGTCAACAGAGCTCTCATTCACAGGCATGACAGGACTGCCGACTTGTTGTTGCATAAAAAGGACGATTCCTACCTAACACAATGATGCATAAACATGCAACTGCCGACCGTGAATTCACACTGTCACAAACAATGACATCTTTTCAAACCCTTGATATAATTGTCAGTAAAATTTCTGCAGAGAGGCTAGAAGAATGCTGGATTTAGGTCTGTAGCCTCAAGGAGTAGTTCAGCAAGAATGCACACAGTACTGTTTTTTTGTTTTGTTTTTTTATTACTGTAGGAATCCGAGTGATACATACAAACTTGTGGTGGTTAAAAATGGGGCTATAAAAAGACAAGTAGGACAGATTCTGTCCATTGATTTTAAGCTATGCTAGAATAGCTGTAAGGAAGGTGCTAACATTCAGGTGATGAGTCTATCTGTCCACTACTTTGGTCTTGACTAAAATATCTGAACTCCTTGATGGATTGCCATGACATTTTTCTAAAGATTTAAAAGAGTAGATGTTCAGAAACAATTTTCTCATTTAAAACTCATGTCTGTGGAAATGAAAAAAGGAGTAACCACATGGAACCACGGGTGTGAGAAACAAGACACAGGTGAAACAAACGGGCTATCAAAGTCGAGGGAAAGCACACAAAGGGAGGAAGTAAAACTAGAATAGCAACGCTGGGGAAAAGAACTACAAAATAAAACAGGAAACTCTAAAGACCAACAGAGAACTCAGGAATATAACACTAACACACTGAGTGAGAAACACAAGGGAAGTAAAAGATAGACAAAATACTACACAACACAAATCAAACTCAGCGCTATGACAGAAACACTGAAAAGTCTCAAATTCAAGAACTGTGACATGGGGAAGTTTCTCTAGCTGTACCTGACAGGCAAAAACAAGTTTGTGTAGACATTTCTTGCTCTAGGACAATTAATACTCATTTCATGGTCTATGTGGCGAGGTTACAATTTGTTTTAGTATGTAGTGATATGGATTGAATGATATTTGGTAAACACATCTTTGTCCCCCCAGAGGGTGGATTGCAGTAACACTGATGATTCCCTAAGCAGGTTAAAGTTTCAACTTCTCCAACAATTAAGTATTCATCTTGAAATACTATTAAAACATGATAAACTTGAGTCTTCTAAATATCAGCTTGTTAGCATCATTCGAAGCATGTTAGCAAGCACTGCTCAGAATGATGCTAACATGCTCAGAAAGATAGCATGGCAGTAAGCTCTTGGTCATATTTTTCTTTCTTCGGTTTACGCTCGCTTTTAGCACCAAAATGACTTCATTAGGACATGTGGGACTAGTTCTGCTGACAAATTGTGGTCTAAGAAAACATCTTCTTAAGTGCATGCTTACACAAGTAAAACCGTTTGTTCAAGCTCGTGTGGGCAGGTGGCTGTACTTTAGTAGGAGGAAATGAACAGGAGCACAAAGGGCAATTTAGCTTTAACACTTGAAGCATCTATCTCTAATTTGGATCTCCCCTGGTGAGTTAAGTGGCAATGTTCAAGATAACATCACCAAGGGCTCATTAACATCGCACAAGACTTTTCAGGGGAGGTTCTCTCCACAAGCCAAACATTCTTCTGTATATTTGAGACGAAACAAACATGCAGGGACACACACACATACAGACCTACAATCACACACTAGCATTCTGTTGTAGCCTGATAAGCCTCATGTCTCACCAATTGGCCCCTGCAAATGTCAAGCCGAAGCCATCTCAGTTTACTGATAGGGAGTGGGAGCGAGTGAGTGAATGTAAATTTCCTTCAGTTACGTTTGCATACACTGAAGATTACCTAATAAAAAACAAGTCTGCAGCAGAGACATAATCTTTCAAATCCCTCTACTTAAACATGATGAAAAGAGGTACAGTAGAAAATCTCAAACTATCCCCACACAGCCCAGTCCAAGAGACGAAGCTTACGTCAACAAAAAGCAGCTTACAGCACTTGAACGCTTATCTTCAAACCGTGGACCTGCTTAAAGTCAGGGACAACTTGAGATGAAATAGAAGTATAAAAGGTTCCCTCGTTGCATACAGCCCAGATGCTGTTTCAACACTTTAATAAAACACCTGTCCTGTTGGGTAGGTTGTTCAGCTAAAGTCACGATCCAAACCAGACAGCCCTGAGGAGGGGGATTGTGTCGCTTACACAAGCACAATAGCTTGAGCTAAGGATCACCCAGTTTTTCAGGATGAGGCAAACACGGTGCCTGCCAAGATTATTTCTCTGCACAGAGGTTTCCACAGATGGTTTTTTGGCCGACCCCCCGTTGCCTCTGACCTTGGTAAATGTCTCAGCAAAGAAGAAAAGGTAGATGGCAAATAGGGGGTTCCTATTTATCTATTCAATATGATGCAATACCTAGCATTTGCTGCTTACATGATTGCATGACTTAATTAACCTTTTCTCTGAAAAAAAGTCAGGTCATGCTTTTTTTTTTTTTTGTTCCTGTTTTACTTATTTATTTTGACGGTAAAGAATGTTGAACTTATGGCTTAAGGTGTCTGACACTTTTTTCCCCTGTATATATGGAATGCTTTTGTTGTGTTTGTGCTTCTCCTTGAGGACTTAAAGAAGAGTCCAGATGTTGCAACCTCTCATGCAACGTTACGGCTCCAGTAGTTTCAGCAGTGAAAGCCATTTCTAGCTGACCGGAGGCATTTGTCTTTGACATTGTGACATGAGGTCTCTAATTTGACGATGTGCTCATACGCCCTGCAAGGAGAAAAGAGCCTGTGCGAACGTCCAGCTGCCCTGAGGCTCGGGTGACCTCTGCTAAGGCACGGACCCTCCGCCTTAATTGTATCTGGAGGAATTCTGCTGCATAAGTTTAGACCAGAGGGCTTCATGGCCTTCACTGTACAAAACGGTGAAACAGACAACAGGATGCTCTTACCCTGTACAGGCATTTCAATAAACTATTACACCAGTTCAAAACAAAATGTTAGATTTAATTGAGATTCATGTGGCATTTCAGGATGTGAAATTGGGCTCATACTCAGTTTTTTAACCTTCAGTGGGTGACTCAATGTGCCTTTTGACATTGTTTCTATGTCAATATTATATATCAGCACGCAAAACTTTTGCTCTTGAACACTCTTGAGTTTTTTTTTTTCAAACTAAATAAAAGACAGTTCGCCCTCTATGTGGTCTACGTCAAAGAGGAAGTGTGTCCAAAGAATTTAATGTTACCAAAGTGAGCTTTTAAGAAAATAGAAAAATACATGTATCTCTTTTTACAGTTCAGGCCTGGAAGCTACTTCCTTGTCTCTGACACTTGTGTCGCCGTCACAACAGAGCCTAATTTGCCCTGGATTACTTTCTGACACTGATCTAAGCTTTGTCATGATATGTTCTAACACCAATACCCCTGACTTTTTTCCCCCGCGCTGTATCGGAGCAAATCCTCACCCATTAGAGGGTAAAAAAGCACGGCTCTCCTATGATTGTGAGACACAATCATCTTTCGCTTCATTTGGCATTTAACACAGCTGTGATTTCCTGTCCTTTTCCCTCAGTGATCATCTCTGCATTGATTGCCTCTCGCTGGCTCTCCTGTGTGTAACATCAGCAGGACTAATTGCTTGTTTTACTGGAAAATTGAGGGATAAAACTACCTGATCAAGATAGAAATAAGGTGAGTGACATTAAGCATACATAACGTCTGAGGAAATGCAAAACAAAACCTTTTTAATGAAAAGTCATGGACATTAAAAGTAAAAGAAACACCAATAGATTCTCTTTAAGCCCATGATTACACTTTGTTTAAAATCACTGTATTTCTCTTCAACATTGGTGGAAACACACGGAACATTTTAACAAGTGTTACATGCATTACTTTAATAAATAAGTCTTTACAAATGAGCACATTAGCCATAACACAATTGACCAACTAACTACCAACACATATGTTATCTAAAAGACACACAATATTGTGTTTGTACAATACTTTGACTGTGATGAGACACAAATCCAATACCAAACTTACAGTATATACACAAGTCAAATGTTAAAATGACATGATATTCCAAATCTTCACATAGAGACACAATACACTTTAGGACAGCTGCCATCCAAAAAAAAAAAAAAAAAAAAGCATCATCTCAATTTGGTGTCCAATATTTGACAAATTCCCAATTTTTAGGTTGAAATATACATTTTGAAGCCAAAAGCAGACATGCATTCATACATTTCATTTCCTCCATTTTTTGTGATAACGAGTCATTTCTTGTTGTTTTTCTAAAGATCTTCACTCGTTCATCCCCTCAGCTAGAGCTAACAATGCTGATTTTCCTGAGCCGAGTTTGTTTTGTTTGTTCTATAGGGATCTCGACTTGTTTTCCCATTATCTCAGATAGCAAGACATGGCTCATCATTTTCCTGTAGACTGGTGGCCACTTTGATAGGCCAAACCACAACAAGTCATTCTGCCATTGCCCAAACTAATGAGGTAAGAAAGTAAAGGCCTATTTCTATAGTTGTTTTTTGCTTTTTTTATCTCTGGGGGACCTGAGACAAATAAGTTCAGAAATCGAGAAAACGACCAGAAAGTTATCACCAAAAAACAGAGACGCATATCCATTATGGCTTTTGTACATATCATACAAACAGCATAAGATACATTTTTTTAACATTTACTTTTACATACATTGCAGTCGCCACAGCTGTAAGATTTCCACACTTGAAATTGACATGACAGCTTAAAAATGATGGCGAGGCTTCTGCACTGTCAGGACTGCTACTGCACCACAGCATGACACACGAAGATGACTGTCACTGTTTTGTTGCTCACATCCATCACCCTGGCGGCATAGGCACCCTGTTTACAATGGAACATATGGATGAGGTGGATCGTTACCGCTAACCACAGGTCCACAGCATTAGTCACAGTATCAATGCTGACCTCAAACATTTTTATGAAAACCTCATCGCCTGCATCCAAATGAAGGATGGCACTGTTGCTGGCGTAGTCATAACTCTGGTCCTGGTCTTGGGCAATGGCGCTGGCCCTGACCTGGAATATGACACACAGGGAAGAGGAGAGTAAGGAAAAGATGCTTGATGCCTATCGTCATGCAGTCATACATTTTATGTATTCTGTTTTCCTGTGATAAAGAGTCATTTCCAGCTGTCTCAGAAATATCTAGATTTATGAATGTCTTATCCCCAGAGTTGCAAAAGCACAAAACAGACACAGAAATAAGCCTAACTTACCTCATTAGTGCGGAAATGGCAGCATGCATGTCAGGGTTTGATATATCACAGTGACCAGCTTTTCTTTTTTTTTGTATTGAGATTGTCAGAAAATTATTCCAATATCATCCAATATTAAATCGTGTTAAGACAATGAGAAGATCCATCTGTTTTAATGGAAAAAACAAGCTTTGTAGAACACGAGGAAAAATAAGAAACCATCATCTCAAGAAACCAACTGAAATTTACCAGTTGCCACTGGAAAACCAGCGTTGTTTTCTCGAGAAAAGCAGGACGAATAAGTCGAGATATTCAGAGAGCAATGACTGGTTATAACATGAAAATGGAGTACATGACACGCATGGATGTATGTCCGCTTAGGGCTTCCGTAGATGACCGCGTGCATTCACTCATAAGAAATAATAGAATTATAACTCTTTCAAAAAAGTCATTATTTAGATTATATGACAGAGAATGACAAAAAATAATTGTTGATGACACAACACAACTAAATAATGTGCTGCCTCAATTCTCCGATGTGTGAGTTGATCAGGAAAACACTTAATTTCAAGGGAATATTTGTAAGAACTGTGGACTGTATTTGAGACTTTTTGTGGAATGTGTGTCCTCTATGACGAATATCCTGTTTTTCTCTCATGACTCAACTGAAAGGGTCAGGATTGAGTCAGTCTGCCTCTGAGGAAGGATGGCCGGGCATACTATCCCTTTGCTTCGTGTTCCACATTCACCTTTTTTTTTTTTTTTGGGTGGAACACTAAAAATACCACATTATCCCATATATGAGTGTCATCATGTCAACATGAAGTAATTACTGGAGGTGTTAGAAGTTGCTTTGCATGTACAGCTAGAAGGCAGAAAAACCCCTCTAAGCTTAACTGATGTATAATGATCTGGGTTGCCAGTTGGATGTCATGCCGTTACTTCACCAGACACTCCATGAAAGCAGTAACCTAGCTTTAACCAACTGGTGGCTACATTTTCTTTAAAACGTAAACATTATATAATTAGGAAATAGTTCTAATTAGTGCCAGGGGAGTAAGTTGTTCACCTACAGAGGCTGCAGGGTTCAAAAGTAGAGGTTGAGCGAGAGATGACAGCATGATGATGGATCTCTGACACTTGAGGGCAATGCAGCCTGATTTCTCTTCCCTCCCTGTGTCTAAACTCAGCTCTACTAGAGCAGCATGATGTCTGATGATAACCGACAACAACAATACACTTTAAACTATATCTTACTTTGTGCATTAGGTTTGATATAGGGTCTATCTCATATCACTTCTTCGGTCATTTTCATCAGGGAGGTGCTAAATTAGTGGCTAAAGCAGAGGGGCAACACTTTTCCCTCATTGGCTTAATGTGTGAATAAATATGAATGAAGCTGTATCATTATGTAGATGATTTAATCAGTAGTTAAAGTGCTTTTGTTCCTAATGGGTCCCCATTAACCAGTAGGGACTGTTATTCTGTTTTGTGGTTAGTGCACTGTTTTGTTCTTAGCCTGAACTTTGGTTATTTGTATGCGGATTCATGAAAACCTACATTTTCTTTGGCAGAATTCAATACCAAGGAAGCCATTTACTTTTAGTTTCATCATGTTTCATGAAAAATCTCAAATTCAAAGTTTCTTAAGACAATTTGAGATTAAATATAGCACTAACAAAAAGATATATGTTAGTGCACTGTTTTGTTCTTAGCCTGAACTTTGGTTATTTGTATGCGGATTCATGAAAACCTTCATTGATGATTACATTTTCTTTGGCAGAATTCAATACCAAGGAAGCCATTTACTTTTAGTTTCATCATGTTTCATGAAAAATCTCAAATTCAAAGTTTCTTAAGACAATTTGAGATTTAAATATAGCACTAACAAAAAGATATATGTGTGACTGTGGTAATTAAGCTTTATACATATGTAAGGTTTCTAGACAGCAGCAGAAAAGTTCAGTGAGGAAGGCACCTCAAAATAATCCCCATAAAGAAATAGTCAGCCAAATTGTGTACCACAATAATTAAAGTATCAAGCTGACAGATGTGTCTTCAGTATAGACTGTTAATTAAAGTACCTTCATTTCATTTTAATCTTTATTTCTTTTTAAAGAGTAACCTCTTTACTGTTTTTTTTCTCTCTTTATCAGCGGATTCAATGTCCTTTTCACAATTTAAGTAGAAAAAAATATTGCTAATCGCAGTATGTGTATATTGGGGAAAGTTTTTCAAATATGGTGTAGGGTTACAACATTAGGATGAGAAGTTGGAAAGAGCCACATTGCCCTTTTGAATTAAGGCACAGCCTCTTTACAAAAATACAAGGAAACTGTAAGAGCTTAAAGAGGAATATTATACATTATATTGTCATCAGTGTATAAGCTGCAAAATAAAATATTCAATTATTTTACATTTGTGTTGATAATCTGTCCAAGAAATCTTTTTAAATGTGGTGTTTTTGTCTTTGATTTCAGTACAAGTCAATTTGTTCCTTGCTGACAATACAAAAACAACTGCAATTTGAAGCTTTTAAAACACTAAATGTCAAAATGTGTTTAGATTTGTGCAGCCTGTAACTATTTTGTAATTCATGAAGTGTAACATGTAATGAGTAAAAACCTAAAAAAACAATTGTAACATAGTAGACCCTTCAGCTCTATGAAGCACCCTCAACATAAAGTGATTTGTATTATGCTCCACAAATATGTTATTTACTGAGTGGCCCTTGTGTTGGATTAAAAAATAATAATTTGTAGGTGTTTGTGTTGCTGTATCCAATCTGTGTCCAGCCTGTTGCCGCCTGTCTGAGATGTGTTCGGGGAAATATCAAGGTTCAGGTTACCATGGTGCTTGATCAGTGTCATCACCTGGGGCTTTGAAGACATTACAACATTATCCATGAATATAGCAAAAGTCCTGGTTTGAGAGTGAAACGCCTGAGCCTGACAGGCAGTCTGATAACGCACACTAGCACATCATGACTCCATGAAGTTTGTTGTATTTCAAAGGGCACCAGCTTTGAACTAGCCACTACCCCAGGCTGTGTTCTGATGTGTGCAGAGTTGAGATAGCGCTGCACTTCTTCCACTCACTTCAACATGTACATCATCAGATGTGTAATATGCACAGATACACAATCTGGCAGCATGCCACTATGAATTGTCATTATGCTGCACTATAACACCAGAACAAGACAGACCTAAAGTCACTATCCACATGAATGCATGACTACTCAATTTATCCTGCCTGCTCCCTGAGTATTTAAATGTGGGTTCTAATAAAACACAATTCAGATTTTTTCTCTCATAAAGTCAATAATCTACACTTACTTACTTAGTTTAAGATTTTTTTGTTATTTTTTTTCTGTTTTTTCTAAGGACTAGAGTCATTCATATACCCATACCAGTCTAACCGTCTTCCCCAGATGACCTGTGCAGTATCTGGTATGGTGTAAATGCCAGTCAATGCTCTGTTATGATATCATAACCTCTCATATCAGGTGAAAAACTCATATCAGGTGAATTATCTCGTGATGATAACAAACAACAGTGCGGTGCCAGCAGACAATGTAATGTTAGTCAAAGTTATCAAGTGTTAGCCTAGAGTCCTTTTTGTCAATTATGTATAGTTTTTTTTTTATATCACACTAGAAATAGAGGGGTACTTTATACTTCCCACTAATCCAGTCTATGTATCAGAATCTGTATTGAAGAGGAAAAAAATTCACCATTAAACAGTGAATTGGTTTGCGAAGGTGTCTTTAGATTTAAAGTGTTACCCACCAGACCATTCTTGATCAAGTCAGCCCACATGCTGGTTCCATCTCCTCCCCTCATCAGCACATTGTAGATGAAAAAGTACGTTCCAGGAATCTTACAGGTGAACTTGCCTGTTGCCCCTTCATAGTTCCCACCAATGTTAGTCACCACGTCATCAAATCGTAGAATATCGTAACCTTCTTGAGGGTTTCGAAGTCCAGCATAAAAAGCCACCCGAGGGGAGGTGTTGTAGGTGGTTGTGCTGACTGACCCTTTTCCCCCTAAACCTAGAATCCCTGTCCGCACAATGTCGACACCATCTCCTGGGGGGCCTTTAGGTCCTGGTGGGCCTGGCTCTCCAGGTGGTCCTGGGGGTCCAGGCTTGCCCGGCCGTCCTGGTTTTCCTTGGGGGCCGTGAGCACTGTAAGTAGGCAGGGGTGGGCCTATGCTGTGGTCGCTCAAATCTGCGTCGTTGTCCACCTGTAGGCCTGTGGTTGCTGTATCTAGTCCTGTGCCCGCTGTACCCGTGCTGGAGAAGGGGTCACAAACCATGCGGCAGGTACCCAGCATCTCAAAGTGGCTTGCGCTGTCATCCGCTCCACCCGTGCCAACAGAGCTGACAAGCACAGGTATGAGAACTACCAGAACCAGGACCAGCATGACCCCCACGGCAGCTGCCACCAGGGTCTTACGCCCGATGCTCAGCCGGGGAAGGGGCTGCGCAGCCACCGTGGAACTCTCCGGGGTGGAAATGGTGACTGTGGGGAGTGCGTCCACCTGGCAAAACGCAGACACACTGAGGATCTTGGATGATGGAGATGGAGAGCTGGTATGAGTGAGTGACAGAGCAGTGTAGGAGTAAAGGAGAGTGGAGCAAAGGACTGAAGTGATCAAAAGGAGAGAGGGATTGGGAGAGTGAGGAGAGAGAGTAAAGAGGGAAGGAGGAGGGAGAGAGTAAGACTGCTTGTGAGAAGAAGAAAAAAAAAGAAAAGACGCAAGGGGAGGAGAGAGTGAGCAACATACACTCACCAACAATCTGAGTCAGGGCTGAGGAGGGCACTTTCCTACTGGCAGCCAGGGTAGACATTAAGAAGGAGTGTGATATTTAGGGCACAGAACATGCAAAGAAAATGATTTGGGGGAAATTTCTTGATAAGGGATCTCTATTTATTTTTTTATAACACCATTATTATACTACCACTAACATTTCTATACTCCATTATTGTTTATTTGACCCTAAACATTTCAATCAAATTAAATAATTGCAATGATTTTGTATGCCAAAATATTTTGAGTACATTAAAATAATTCTCGACCATTAAGAAGCACTGATTTATATATACTTATTTAAGATAGCATTTTTGTGTTGTTTAAACGATTATTTTAACGTATTTTTTTGAAGGTGCAATTCTGAATTTGTAAGGAAAATATTTTATTATTACATTAGTAATAGATGTAAGTACTTGTAATCCCTATTGGCTTTGATAGGATATTACTCCATGAATTAATTGCCGAGTCCTTAGGTTGTGACAACAAAATAAAACCGGCGCAAGCAGAGAAGTCTGGCAGAGAAGCTGTTCACAAACAAGACATACACCACTTCTAAAATCTAAAGGGATTGTTAAAATGTTATCCAAATCTAGGTTTTAAATGTTAGCTTTGACAGTGTTTCTGGATTCATGTGATGAAGACATTGACCCTCCTAAATAGATTTGAGCTGTGGTGATATACTTGTGCTCAAGCCTCCGGCTGTGAAATGTCATAATGTTTCCTGTCTGTTGCAAAGATTTGTTTTAATGGTATACAGTTAGGCTTGCAAATTAGAGTAGGTCTACTTGACGCAGACAACAGGAGTTAACATAGCCAGCTAGCTTACAGCACAACACTTTTCTGCCAGGAGTGCTTATTTTTTAGCATTTCATTGGGAAGCTAAAGCCAGATAGAAAAACTATTTTTTAAAGAATTATAGTTTACTCTACCAATTTTTTTTTATAGAGATAGCTTCCCTTTACTTTTCAGATGAAGTAGTTTTTGCTGAAGCTAAAATGAATGTTTTGCCCAAATGTTTTGTGTGCTTGCATTTAGCATGCTATGTGAATTTCAGATTGATCTACAACTTGGCATTGCCTTTTGATTTTTCTTTACTAATGCTGCTCTCACCCGTCTGTTATATCCTTCAAATTGATATTAGTTGTAGATTTTTGGCTGTTTTTTTAGTTTCTACCACTTGTTTCAGATAATCAATATTAAATAAGGTGTTGTGCTCCAAGTCATATTTCTTAGATAGAATAAATATAATTATATCTTCCTGGCTGATGAGTTTTATCTACACAACGGCTGCAACGTGTTATTCATTTTAAGTTCCGTTTTAAGATTTTTCTTTCTTTCTTTGCAATGTTTGCAGATGGGTAGTGCCCATATTTAATGTATTTATTATACTTGTGTTAGCTTCTGTAGCAAATACAGTGAAGGTGGTTTGCTGTTTCCCCTCTCCATTGCTTGGTGCATGCTCGTTGGAAATCATCTTCTTAAAGCCTAAAAATGAAATATCACTTCAGCTCATATTCTGTATTAACTCAAATACATTCCACATAATTCCACATGAGTTGGCTGAATACACTCACACTCGTCCAATCTCAGTGTGTTGGCAGGGAGGCATCTGCTCGTTTTGCCAGTTCTCTGTACGGTCAACGTTTTCAAAACTCCTCTGAGTTGATGTACTGATTTTAAGAAGGTTTCTAGATGTTTCCATTGGAGTGTCATGTAAATGGACAGACATAGACATGAAACCATTTCATTTTGTTCCCTGTTCAAACCCCAAAGCCTGTCTGTAAAACTTTGTCCAAAATCTCCACGGACACTGAATATTTTACTGTTGCAGGATTTGTTTCAATTAAAAAGGTGACACACAAAAAATTGTTTTTTTTTTTTATTTCTGTTTTCACAAAGGCAGGGTGTAGTATATCTAAAACATGACTGATTATTTGTCAAATATACATAATGTTCCTCCGTGAACAACACATTGTGGGAGAAACTTGTAAATTCTCCCTCCTACCAATTAACCAACATCCAAAAAAACAAAGTCACATTGAAGCCAGTTACATAAACTTGGCTCGTTGGAATCATCCAGTTATATTTGATTTGCATGAGTAGCATAAGCAGGCAGTAGATTTTGTGACTCTTCTCCACATTTTTAATGCTGCTGTTGTCATAGGACACGACAATAGTACTGAGTCAGACACCTCAAGCGCTGCTGTCTTGCTGGGTCTTTCTAGAGGATGACATATAGTAAAATCAGAGACGTAAAAACAGTCAGTATGACAGAGGACAGATTTAATTTTTTTGAATCTTTTAATGATACCTAATATAACCATTTTTCATTTAGTGGCGGTTGCAACTAAAAACAGGCTAAGTTATTTCACATCAGGGCCTGCAATGTGAACCTCTCTTTCTACTAAGAGAAACATGTGATAAAAAAATCCGATGGAAAATTAGACGTGTACTCCCATATTCAAATCCTGTCTATTTTGACACTTAAAGTCAGACAAACAGTTTGTCAGTCTTCTCTATGAAGTGATATACAAAGACTTGGCTTTATTTGTTGCATTTAGTGCCCTCTTGTGGTTCTCTAACATATCTCAAAATAAATGATCGCTATCCACCCACCCAGCATTTGCGTTCCCTTTCTTCATAGATCCAAAGTTAAACCAAAGCTAAACACACTTTCAATAAAGTTTCTGGACCACACTAATAAAGAAGTATAAAAACAGTAAAGTAGTCTATAAGAATTAATGAAAATTACAAAAGGCTAAGATAAAAAAAGAAGAGCTGGATCAAAGATATTGTCACAAGAAGAGGCTCTGAGCAGTGATTTAAAAATAAAGATGTCCTTACAGGTGATATTTATTTAAGTTGAAATTGCAAGAAGAGAGGTCACGAGAGGATAAGAACAAGACTGTAAATGAATAGCCCAGACTTCTACTTACTTCACTTTATGAAATTAGCCTGCCTCTATTTCGTACAGCCGTTCACACGAGGTGACCAAGTGAGATGTGCCCTTTATTTGTCCAAACATACAGCACAGTTTTGTAAGAAGAAGAAAAAAACGGACTGGCCCTAAGATTGAGAATGGCTTTCATTTGAAGTTTTTCCAAAATGAAATATTATTACTTTTCTTTCTTTTTTAAAGAATTGTTCCTTAAAACATTTATTAATTCATACATGAGTGTTAATACATTTCTTTCATTTCCTTTTCTTAAAAAGAAAAAAGATATGGAAAAAGATGTATTTATTCAAATGTTCTTGTTGTTATACAAAAAGTGACATAAAAAAAAAAAATCCAATGAATTCTAATTTTAAACATAAATAAATAAAGTATTAAGGAATAAAACAAACATTGAAAATTACACAAGTTAAGTATAAATTGTGGTTGTATTCTACTATTGATCATGATCCGTCCTTCATCAGTCTTTAACTATAAAAATATGACTTTGAATATGATTTCTAGACTACATGACTTACATTACACACACTCTCTCTCTCTCCCCTAAATGTCTGACTCTATCCACTGTCCTATCTCTAAACAAAGACATTAAAATCCCAAAAAGAAACCTTAGAAAAAAGAAAGCCTAGTGTCCTAAGCAATGAAATGTTGGTGGCTAAATCAATAAAGTCTGGTTAAGCCTGGATCCCAAGTGGACTTCAAAAGTCAACGTCAGACCCATTATAGACTGCATGATTTTAGGGATTTTAACAGCCTTCAGGACTGACTTAGTAAAGCTCCAGGATTCAGCCTTGAAATTGGGGGAAATCAGTGTAACATCAAAAAGGAGCCTCTGTATCTGTGCTGATTTGTTCTTAATCCTACAATAAAGAAAATTGGCTAGTAGCAAAAAGTTCTTGAAAAATAAAATGAATGTGTTGGGCAAGTTTGACTGATGTCCCACTGACTGCATTTACGTCTTTAATCCAGAGGATGGCGCCCATTGCTCGTTTTTGTCAAGATGTTTTAGAAAATGAAAAGAAAGGCACATTCGAGAAACTAAACTGGGCTCAGTCAGTCATTATCAGTTTTGATGAAGCATCCAAAGAAGCAAGATTCCCAGTGTCTTTTGTGCACTATCAATATGCAACTTCTGGTTTTGAGAGAATTGGGACAATATCCTGTCTCTGTGCAGCAGCAGAAACCTATCTTATCAACCCGGGGAAGGTGTAGACCACCCATCTCGAGCAGCCCTGCTCACATTCCAGAATAGACACAGGGGACTGACCTGTCAGTAACTCAAGAACAGTCCATCTTTGATGTCTATATACAGGATGGACTCGGCTGGAGAGTGTATTTATCTGTCTTTTGGGGTGATGTAAGGTGATATACTTTTGGCCCTTGTGTCTGTTTATTGAATCTCTTTTATTCAAGGGAAAGGTGTGGCAGATGTTAAAACTGTAATTTTTTTTGGGGGGGGAGGGAGTACAGTATAGTACAGTACAGTACAGTCTTGTTACATAAAAATTATACAAATAATCTGATTCCTTCAGATTTCAATCCTTCACTAAATGTAACATTTAAGTTAACATAACATTTAAGTTAACATAACATTACATAACGTTAAAGCCTTTTGAACTGGTATAATAACCCCTTTTGTAAAGCGAAAGCATATCAACTCCTTGTATGTTTACACAAGGATTCAAACGGAGTAACTTCCTTGATTCTTTCTATTTGGACTCTTCCTTTTTAGGCAATAGGCCGCTGCCTTGCAGTCCCTCTTGGGATTCTGTGGGAATTCCTTAGCTGGTATGCTTGGCCATTGGTTTTCATTCCTAAAATATTGTTATTTCAGGATACGAGAACGGAATGAAGACAGAA